TCAGTTCAACTCATATCAATGTGGGAAAATTCTTCTTCTACCAGTCCTTCATCACCTTAAACGAAATGGTGTTAATACATCTCATACTACTTATTTACTGGTAGTCACTAAAACAATACTTAAATCAAAAAATACATTCTTATTGATGCCACATCCTTTTCGGCTGAACGTTTGGCCAAGGGATTTACTCCACTTGTCTCTTTGACGAATTCTAGTTGGAAATGTTGCTGACACTGGCAAGACTCGTTGCTCATGCCGAATACGATTCCAGCGAAACACTTGCAAATGTACCAAATCCACGGTCTGACGTTTGGAATTATAATACATACTAAAGCATAAAACAAGATTAGTTCAACTAAGTCACCTTTACAAAAATAGCAAGTTGCGAAAACGATGTCGACCCGCTTACATTCATCGAAAGTAGACTGCGACCATACCGAGAGCCACACAATCTTGGTCTTCATATCTTCGTTAATTTACTTATTCTTTAATATACACCAACCTCGAAGCATGTGAGTGTGTATGTTTGCGTGTTTTTATGCTTTCCATTGTACGTATACTTACGATACCAGCATTGATGGCTCAAATATACGAACACATCAAGACACATAAACACACAAGCAAATGCTCACATTCTTCGAGGTTGGCGTACATTGAAAACTAACAAAATCACATTATGCCTCATCAGCATTTCGGGATAAGCGGCTAATTTGTATTGGCTTGTTAGTTTGAAGGTTGAGGATACCCTTTCTGCTCTGATGATGTCAGTCATACGAAGGACGAAAGCTTAGCACGTCTTTAACGGAATTGAAGGAGATTACCTTGACGACGGCATCAACAAGAATGTCCCAGTAAAGCCAATCGACAACTGGTCAAGAGGAGTCTACCGTCGTCTTCTGGTGGAAACGACCTTCGAATCTATTTACTGAACACTTTCACTCGATTTGGAAGTAAGCTCAACAATTATGAAACAATAGACTCCTCGAAACACAACCTTTCTTCTCACATCAAATCACAGTCGTTTCTCGAAATACCTCATTTCATGTAAAATTAATTAAGTATACGATTAAAGATATTGTCGAAATCTCCTTTAACTGTACAGCGCCGGTTTGACCTTATTTTCGCAACTTGCTCATATAGGCATGAAACGTACATGCTTCCTCTGCTGTATTGACTTGATACATTCCCAGACCTGTCGCTGGCATGGTAGCCGGTATCGTCAGTGAGAAGTACCATCGTTAGGACAGTTACAATTGATCAAAGGGATAATT